TCTGCTGCCAACCTAACAACACTAAAAGTAATTAGTAGTTGGAATCGTCGGTTAGTAGGACAGAAAATACAATAAAAGACTGAATATCTCACTCTGTCGAAGTTTCGCGTTCATTTAAACGCTTCATCAGGACTACAACAAAAAACAAAAATCAAAATCACCATTGCAGTCATAAACACCATCAATTAAACAATCATACAACGCAAATTAATCAAGATATTGAAAAAACATACATTTACACACAAAAAAAATTTTGAAAAAAAGATATAATAAAGTCATTTATCTTAAAAATAATTACAATTTACATTTGAAAAAATTGAAAAAAAAAAAAAAATAACCAATCAAATTTACTAAAACTAAATGAGCGAGCACTCACCTGCTTAGGAATTTCAAAATTGCTAAAACCATGGTGTGCCATAGTAAAACGGAAAAAAACAATTAAAAGGCTCTCGAAAAAAAAGAAACAGTAGGTAGTGTACTAGAGTCCGCGTTAAAGTAAAGAGTACGGTGACGTCAAATGCGCACAAACCCAATTTTGAAGACTAACCGAACTATCGTATCGTTCGGTGCTGCTGCCGAACGTCAAGCACGAGGTCCATTGTCGTACGGCCAGCAGGCATATTTATTTAGTTTATTTTCTATCCAAGTTTTGTCTAAAAAGATACCCCGCTGCTGGTTTCAGCTCACGGCCGAGGTCACGGCAGACAGCGAGAGATAGACGAGGGAGAGAGATCCGACCCGCTTCGCGCAGCTTCCCGTCTCGTCACCGTACTCTTTACTGCTGACGCGGACTCTATTGACGGCTTGGAATACCGTCAAGCACTGAAAAAATACAAGGCGACTCAGATGAGTAAATTTAAATTTGGGTCCCAAATTTAACGTACCGCTTGAAAAGCATGAATTTCCAATCCTGGAATTGTTAAAAGAAACTGAAAATATTGTGCAGCAAAAACATAATCTGAATAAAAATGAGCTGTGTGTCTCAACGAACGTTCTAACGAATTTTTTGCAAAAACCTCTCAAGTTTGACTATCAGTCCAAGATTATTTTACATAATTACAAATCAACAAGAACCTTTTTAAAAAATCATCCGGATATTTTCGTATCGAATTCTGATAAGGGCAATGTCACAGTTTTTGCATATAAGAGTGACTATAATGACAAAATGACTTCTATGGTGAGCGACACTGAAGTTTATGAGGTGTTAAAAAGGGACCACACTAATATTTTTCAAACTAGGTGCAATAATTTAGTTAACAAGCTTATAAGAGACTTTCAACTAATAGATGACTCCACTTATAGGAAACTAAAAATTTACAATGCACAGCCACCAAGAATATACGGCTTATATAAGATTCATAAAAATAATAAACTAAGACCAGTTGTGCCTTGTATTCAGCTACTACATTGCAAAATTATGACTGGGATCCTTGATAATTTTGGGGCTTTTTTCAAATATTCTCTTAAAGACTCGTTCGAATTGATTAATTCCAATAAACAAATTAAATTACCACCTGATTATGTTTTGATAAGTTTGGATGTCGTTAGTTTATTTACCAATATTCCAAAAGACCTGGTAATTGATATAATGGCTGGGAGCGTATTTGCAATTTCACTATGATCCCTGAGAACATTTTTATAGAAATGGTGACATTGTGTTTCGATACGAGTTATTTTTTGCACAACGATAAATACTACAAACAAAAAGATGGCACGGCTATAGGCAAGCCAGCTAGCCCAATTCTGGCAAATATAGTGATGGAAGACGTCATTGATGAAGTAGTTAAAGACTTACCCTTCGCATTTCCCCTAATTGAAATTTACGTGGATGACATGATCTTGGCTGTTCCAAAGAATGATATTCAAACCATTTTAAATCATTTCAACAATTTTCACGAAAAACTCAAAATTCACTTGTGATACAGAAGTCAATAATCGCATCCCTTTTTTGAAAATACTTTTAATTAGAACAACGGAACAGACTGTTTTAACAAGCTGGTATGAAAAAGATATTTCATCAGGTAGATTACTAAATTTTCATTCCCAATATGCTTTTAAATAGAAACTATCAGTGATGTTGGCTATAAAAAATAAGATTACTAAGTATAGCACTGGTCCTTTTTTGAAAGACAATTTGAATAAATTTAAATCAAAACCGATCAACAATGATGAATGAACGTTAGTTTCTGTAACACCCTTTTGAATTCTAACGTCAATCCTAAGCAGAATTTATTACTTAGTCCAGCCAAAGTTAATTTTTTTAAAATCCCATATATCCGCGGTCTATCAGAAAAACTTAGAACGCTTTTAACTACTGAAAGTCAAAAAATAGTGTTTTATCATAAAAAAAAACGGTTGGAAACTTATATCAGTCAGTCAAGAATAAACTACCCTTAGAGTATAGGTCGATCCTAATATATAAAATTAATTATTGTTAACACTGTGATGGAGTGTACATTGGACAAATCAAACGTAAACTTAAAGATAGGATGAGCGAACATAGGAACTCTGCATCCAAACATAAGGAAAAGCGGGAACAAACAGCTTTAGCTAGTCACTATTGTCAAAACGACCATTTTGACTTTGATAACGTTCAGATTTTAGACAACGAGACACGCTATAGTAAACGTTTATTTAGTGAAATGTTTTGCATTCAATTACATGAAACGGCAGTCAACAATAGAACAGACACTGGAAATCTTAGTGACATTTACTATAATATAATAGCCAGAAATATACGTCTATAGTCCTAATAATTTTATTTCAAAACTATAAAATATTACTCCTGAATGTATAAAGTTTTTGTTTCTTTCATAAAACCAATTCATCAGCCTGCAGGTGTCGTTTCTTTTTCTTTTCAGTGCTTGAAGTATTCAAAGCCGTCAATAGTACACTACCTACTGTTTCTTTTTGTTCGAGAGCCTTTTAATTGTTTTTTCTGTTTTACTATGGTACACCATGGTTTTAGCAATTTTGAAATTCCTCACCAGGTGAGTGCTCGCTCATTTAGTTTCAGTAAATTTGATTGGTTCATTTTTTCCAATTTTTTCAAATGTAAATTGTAATTAATTTGTTTAAATGTAAATGACTTTATGATATTTTTTTTAAAATATTTTTTTGTGTAAATTTATGTTTTTTCAATATCTTGATTAATTTGCGTTGTATTATTGTGTTGTCTAAACACAATATTTGAAATGAAAAAATACCTACTTCTCTGAAAGAATTAGGAGCAATTCAGTTAATAACTTTTTAATAATAATTAAAAACAAAAAATACATTATTTATCTCCACAACCTTGCCTAACAACTAACCAAAGCTAACTACACACAAAAAATATACAATAATAAAAACACAAAGGTAAAAACACAAAGGTAAAAACATAAAGGTAAAAATACAATAGTAAAAACACAAAGGTCACTACATAACCTTCCTCCAGAAGTATTCTACTTCGAAATTTTAAATCTCACTTTTTTTATTTTTTTATTTATTTCTTGTTTCACTGGTGCAGATTTTTTCACCTTCAATACTGATTCCAAAGAATTATCCAACAAACATGTATCCATAAACGCTGGTTTAATACGATCAATTGATACATTATAGGGTTTTCCGTTTAAGTCTATTTAAAAAAATTTATTTGATTTTTCCAAAACTTTAAATGGACCATTATAGGAAAACGATAAAGGTTTCTTATGAGAATCGATCTTAACGAAAACATGCGATGAATCAAACAAATTTTTGTTAATGAAAAACTTTCTTTGTTTAAAATTTGAGGTTGCTGGTTTCAAGTTTTGCATAAATTCTTTAAGTTTTACAACAAAGTCAGAAGAAGTTTGGCTTTCAGAAGTGGAATTCTCAAAAAATTCTCCAGGAATACGTAAAGTAGTTCCATAAACCATTTCCGCAGCACTACATTGGATAGAATCCTTAAAGCAAGTTCTCAGCCCAAGCATGACTATGGGAAGCGAATCAACCCAATGAATACCATCAACCGCCGTCAAAGCACTTTTGAGACTTCGATGAAATCGCTCAATAACACCATTAGAAATAGGATGATAAGATATCGTTTTAATGTGATGAGTGCCGAGAATTAACATTAATTCTTATAATTTTGACTCAAATTGAGATCCTCTATCAGATGTAATAAAAGTTGGTATACCAAATCTACTTATCCACTGAGAAACTAAAGCTTCAGCAACCGTAGAACTATTAATATCTTTAACAGGAATTACTTCAGGCCACCTAGTATACCGATCTATACAAGTAACAAGATACTTAAAACCTTTAGAATAGGGCAAAGGACCCACAATATCGATATGTAAGTGACTGAATCTGTCTTTAGGAGTCTCAAATTGTGACAAAGGACTTACCGTATGTCTAATTATTTTAGACCTTTGACAACTAATACATTCTTTTGTCCACCTCTTAATATCAGATCTTAAGTTTGGCCAGACTACCCTAGATGAAATAAGCTTTTGTGAAGCACGAATTCCAGGGTGTGATAAAGAATGCATAATTTTGAAAATTTTATACCGAAACTTAAATGGGATAAACGGACGAGCCTTGCCTGTTGATACATCACAAAACAATTCAACTGCCTCGTCATCTAAATGAAACTTTTCCAATAACAAAGAAGTATTGTCTGAATTCTGAAAAAAACTTTAGTTCCTGATCAGTTTCCTGTACTTTCGCAAGTTCTAAATAATTAATATTTTCCAAACAAATCGAATTTAACTCAATGCGACTTAAAGCATCGGCAACAGCATTGTTTTTACCTGAAATATGTCTAATATCTGTAGTGAACTGTGAAATGAAATCTAAATGTCTAAATTCTCTAAGGGAATATTTATCTGAATTTGATTTGATTGCATATACCAGTGGCTTATGATCTGTTAAAATATGAAAAACCCTGCCTTCAAGTAAATCGCGAATCACAGCATCAAAGCTTTATGAAGCAGCCCATTGCAAAAAAAGCGATGGAGTATTCGTGAACCAAGTTCTAGGAGTTTCATTATTTAAACCCACAGCTGCCATGACAAGAGGGATGAGATTAGAAAAAAAGGTGAAAGAAGCAATAGAAAAAAAAAAAATTAAAGTTAAATTTAGTGATGCTGGAATAAAATTAAGTCCAAAATATGTAATTTTTGGGGCATCACCTGATGCTATATGCGATGATTACGTGGTTGAAATCAAATGTCCTCAATCAGAAAAAACCGTTGTAAATTATCTGACCAAAGAAAAAAAAATTACTTCCAAATACAAGGCTCAAATTCAACTGCAAATGTTTATGTTTGAGAAGAAGAAATGTTTATTTTGTGTGGCTGATTCAAATTTTGAAAACAATTTGAAATTTTATCATGTTTGGGAAGAATTTGATAGAGAATACATAAATTTTTTGATGGATGCAGCCGAATGCTTTTGGCGTGATAATATTTTTGTTCATTTATATAATTCTGTAAAAATAAATAAATAGAATGCAACTAAAAACAATATTTATATCTATTTATTAACCTATTCCAAGTGAAGGAAATGCATCAAATATATTCTCAAAATCACTGCCAGAAATACTTAAGTAAATTTTTAAGAAATTGTATATTTACATCAGCAATATTCTGTGAGATTAAATTTACCCATAGCTTTCCGTGCTCGATATAGTAATGTTTTACTTACTGATATAAAAGAAAAATAAAAGTAATAATTTGAAGGAATTTGGAGTGTTCAAAAATAACAACTAAGTATATCCTGTTCACAATCCGATGTCCACAGGTGCAGGTAAATTTATCACCTTTCAATGCTATTTGATAGGGAAAGGTGATAAATTTACCTGCACCTATGGACATCGGATTGTGAACGGATAATACCTATGTTTATAATTTATTTAATTTTTTGAAATAGTAGGTAGTCCATGTCTCACAGTGAAGAGAATAGTTAAAGAACTGGAGTAAAACACACAGTCTATCTTCACTCTTTATTTTACAAAAATATAATCAGTTGGAAGGGAGGTTGAACATGTTTCGGATCTGTCATAGATCCATTATCATCAGCATAAGCTCTACAAGTTACAAAATATGGGAGTTAGGGGGAGGGCCTGGGGTGTATACATCATGATAGATCCGAAACATGCTCAACTCCTCTTCCAACTGATTATATTTTTGTAAAATAAAGAGTGAAGATAGACTGTGTGTTTTATTCCAGTTCTTTATTTATTCAATTAATAAATCCCTACTGCCCTGAAATTACTCCTGATTGTAAGTTAATTAGACCACATACTATTTTTATTACATGATCTGTATAAGGTATTAACTTGTTATCAATACATGCATGAGGTGCCAAGAAGGAAAATTCTCTTAGTCTTCGAATAACTCTTTCTACATGAATTCTCAAACTAGCTATACGTTTTGTTTCCAGTACTTCAGACTTAGTAGACTTTGTACTAGCAGAGACACTAGATGGCCTAATTAAAATACAGTGTCGAGAAACTAGCAAATGCTCAATATGCTTGAAACCCCTGTCTGCCATTATAGCAATATTTGGGGGCAAAATATCCAAAAAATTACAGTTTTCCACAATGATAGATTCCAGATGTCCGCCCACCAAAACCAGTTGAAATGAAATTTATTATTCCATCTGGAGTACAAGATATTAAATATTTTAGAGTGTTGCACTTTTTATAATCTGACCAAGTTAATGACTGTTTAACAGAATCAGATGGCTTTTCAATTTCAATTTCTAGACAATCAATAATCATTAAAACATTACTATATCGAGCACGGAAAGCTATCGGCAAATTTAATCTCACAGAATTTATTGTCGGTGTAAATATACACTTCCTTAAAAATTTACTTATTTTTGGCGGAGATTTTGAGAATATTTTTGAAGCATTTCCTTCACTTGTTCCAAAATCATCAGACAATGTTATAAACGACTGACCAGTGCGAATTTTTTTCAAAGTTAGGAATATATGCATACTTTGCAATTTGCAATATTTTTCAAGTATTTGAAATGTATAAAATGCATATTCTGGGAGTCCCATATATAATCTAGGCCTGCATTGCAATTTTCTAATTGTAGATTGCAATGCTAGGTTCTGAAAGTAAGTTTGATCTTTTTCTTGAAGATGTTCCTGATATACAGAACTCGGCTCACTGGAACTATAAGTTGAATCACAATCAGTAATACTGCTTATAGAACTAGAAGAGCTATCAAGTACACTTTCTCTTTTGGCAATATTTGTTGGAATAACTGCTTTTAGAGGTGAAGTTCCAACTTCTGCATGCGAAATTTTTAGAGGCAATAAACCAACTGAAACGCCACAAAATAATTTGCATTGCACTGCTTTACTTCTAATTGTTGGGCGGCGACGACATTGCACTGCAACATTTTTGTTTGCTACTTTGTAAATTACATTTATTTACAATCATACATGTAATGTTGACTTTACTGACTTTTAACAAGTTCGAAAATGTCACTTTTTTAACTTTTACTTTCGGCCCACGGGTCGAAAGTTTACTTTCGACCCGTGGGCCGAAAGTAAATGAAATTTTTAAAATTTATTGTATTTTTTGACTTTTACTTTCGGCCCACGGGTCGAAAGTAAACTTTCGACCCGTGGGCCGAAAGTAAATGAAATTGTTAATTATTGTATTTTTTAGTTTTAATCCAAATGAGAATTTCAAAATTCGAATGATTGTAAATAAGAGAGATTTCGTTAGACCTCGAGAGATTTCAGTTAGACCTCGGCTGCGCCTCGGTCTAACTTAAATCTCTCGACAGTAATGAAACACTTTCCACCTCGGTATTATTTACAACCACATACGTAATGTTGACATTTCTGACTTTTCAAAAGTTTGAAAGTGACACTTTTTTGAATTTTACTTTCCACCCGGGTGGAAAGTGCTCACTTTCCACCCGGTAGGAAGTTTCATTCCTATCTCGAGATTATAGTTACAACTAACTGATCTCTCGACAGTAATGAAACACTTTCCACCTCGGTATGTAATATACTATTTCATTATAGTCATTTGAAGGCTCGTTCGTAGGTGGATTCAAATCTACTTCCACAGGTTTTATATTCTCTAAGTTTTCTACTGATGATGATGTGGTAGTAGATGCTATTGATGCCAATGCTTCATCTACAATTCTCCGTTTGGCCCTATTTACAGATGTAGGCCTAGGAGGCTGAACACAAGCTCTTTTTCTGTCTGGCTTAGAATTAAAAATATGTGGTACAACACCAGGTTTCATTTTAATTTTTGTACTACCACCCATAAGCTTAAATTGAATATAGTTTTCCATATCTTCTTTTAACTGCAACAGAAAGAAAGAACTATAAGTAATAGATAGATAAGTAATCGGTACTTATTCAAGGTATTATTAAACTAAATTTTAACATTCTCATATTAAGTGCCTAATTTTAAGGCAACTTTTTAATTAGTTTGAATTTGACTGCTTCGATAGTTTGAAAGAAGAAATAAACTAACGTAAAAAAATTTTCTTCGTGAAAAATCAACATTTTTGTTAGAAAATCTGTGCTTTTTACTAAGTATTAATTCAGGCCTATGATGTATCATTTTCTGTTATTTTAACAGCACCGTTAAGTTATCTATCACTGTTTATTTTACACGTAAAATTAGAGACAGGTATAGATTTTGAGCTATAACACAACTGTTAAAATAACAGGACAGGATACATCATAGGCCTGTCTACAATTTCATACCTACTCAAAAACATTGAAAATCCACGAAAAATATCCGCTCCAAATATTATGTAAATATGAAACCCCGGTTATGATATAAAATAAGTCTTGCCCAAAGTCTTAACGTTTGGTGTTACCCAGTTCTTACTTACTTACATTAAAATGGTCTTCGCATACGTAAACTCCTCCACTTTTCTCAGAAATATCCTCTGCATTTCTCCTGCATGCTTTAATCCATTTTTCTCGACGAGTTTGATATGCAGAGTTTGGTAATCTTATAAAAATTTTAGACGGCATTTTTATCGCAGAGTTTATACACATTGGCACCAAACACGTTTTATACTTGGTTTTACCCATTTCTTCTCTAGTCCACAGAAACACAAAACGCAAATAATGAATAGGAAGAACCAATCTATACCTATCACACAAAATATTTACATAGAAATGGCAACTTATTCGTCACTGTCAATAAAATTTTGAATTTTGCTGCCCAGTGACGTCACTTTTTCGCGAGGTCGTTTTTAAGTGGCGATTTTTCGAGCGTAGCTTTAAATATTTATAAAAAATTAACGGTTGATTTTTAATGCTCGATATTTGGCATGACTGAGTCTTTAGTGTAGTAGAACACATTTTTGGAATAAAAAAAAATTTGCAAGTTTACCTAGAGAAATAGGAGCTATGGATGAAATATTTGAAGCACAACCTATAATATTTTGATACGTTAAAGCATCTATAACTTGCCTCCTTTTCATGTCAACTAGCAGATTAAAATTTCTCAAAAAATCAGCTCCCAAAATTGATTGTTTTATATTTGCTATAACAAATGGCCATTTAATTTTTTTTTTAAACTAAAATCCAGAACTAATGATTTAGTCCCAAAAGTTTCAATAACAGAATTATTCGCAGCGAAAAGAGTTTTATCGTACTTGTTTGTTGGATTCATACTTTTAGAGAAAGCTAATAGACTTACCTCTGCACCAGTATCCACAAGAAAACGATGACCGGAAATAGAATCCTGCAAATAAAATAAATTCTGGGGAAAGGCTTTGTCAAAATTATTAAAACAATAGTTGCTGACATCTAATTGCGAACCTAAAACATTGTTATTTAAAGATTTTTTAAATTTATTTTGCGACCTACTAACATTCTTAGCCTCCGCACAAGGAGGGATACACTTGTCAGCCTTGTCTCCAAATCGTTCATGATACCAGCACAACTTAGAGTTTGAAATTGGACTGGCACTCCTACTTCGGGATGAAATAATGGTTTCTCTACTTCTATTAGATCCGCTATGGTGAAAATTACTTTTTTCTACTGACGTTTCATAATAGCGACTTTTCGATTGTCATTTTAGTTTTTAAATGGCATTCTTTTAAGCACTAGTGCGTAAAAGTGACACTTTTAAGCACTAGTGCCTAAAAGTGTCACTCATTGTTCAGAAATAAAAAACACAGATTTGAATTTTATCTATTTTTTCATAAATGTTGTAAATGCAATTATTTGAACTACTAAAGTAAACGTTTGGGTTACTCAAAACAGAACTTTCTGTTGTTTTTTTCAATAGGATTTCAATTTTCAATCAAAAAAACCTCATGAAAGATGTCAATCAAAAGCAGGTGCCAAACTTTTTTGGCGTGATCGGCTCTTATTTACGAGGAATAAAATTATGTTTTTTTTCAGTATGAAACGCCAGTAGAAAAAATCTTGTATACAACACGTAACGAAACGATGTCTTTTAGTCACTCGACGTGTTGTCCAACTCGGCTACGCCTCGTTGG